TTAGCCTCTTGAGCTACAGGCCCTGAGCCCAACTTTAAACTCTTTGGGCTTATGCAATTCTCCTGTCTCAGCCTCCCAAGTAGCTGGGACTACAGGCACCCACCACAACGCCCAGCTATTTTTTTGACTGCAGTTGTCATTACTGTTTGGCAGGCCCAGGCTGGGCTTGAACCTGCCACCTCTGGTGCATGTGGCTGGCACCCTAGCTGCTTGAGCTACAGGCACTGAGCTAGCATTTTCTTATTTAGCACTACAAAGTCTCTAGGGCAGCGGTTCTCAACCTGTGGGTCGCAATCCCTTTTTTTAACAATGAAAATATATTGCGGCATTAGGAAGGTTGAGAACCACTGCTCTAGGGCTTCTCTAATAATGCTAAATTCCAGCAGCCTCCGAGCATTTAGTAGGCAGCAGTATTTGTCCAAAAATGTAATAAGGCTTGGCAGCCACAGCTCAGTGGGTAGGGCACCAGCTACATACAGTGAGGCTGGCGGGTTCGAGCCCAGCCCAGGCTTGCTAAACAACAATGACAACTGTACCCAAAAAATAGCCAGGCATTGTGGCAGGCACCTGGAGTCCTAGCTACTCAGGAGGCTGAGGCAAGTGAATCGCTTAAGCCCAAGAGTTTGAGGTTGCTATGAGCTATGATGCTACGGCACTCTATCAAGGGTGACAGCTTGAGACTGTCTCAAAAAAAATAAATAAATAAAAGGAAAAAGCAAATGTGGCAAAGTGTTAGCAATTGGTAGCTCCAGATGATGAATATGGAGTATTCGTTATACTAGTCTCTTGTCTTTTTCTTTGAATTTTTAAAAAATAATAAAACATGGGCCAGGTATGGAGGCTAATGCCTGTAATCCTGGCACTCTGGGAAGCCAAGGTGGATAGATTGCTTGAGGTCAGGAGTTGAAGACCAGCTTGAGCAACAGCAAGACCCTGTCTCTAAAAAGAGCTGGGCATTGTGGCAGGCACCTGTAATCTCAGCCACTTGTGAGGCTGAGGCAAGAGAATCACTTGAGCCCAAGAGTTTGAGGTTGCTGTAAGCTAAGACGAGCACTTACCAAGAGTGACAAAGTGAGAGTCTGTCTCAAAAAAAAAAAAAAAAATTTGTTTTTAATTTATTTAAATAAAATTAAAAAACAGTTTCTTGGGGGGCAGTTTTGGCTGGGGCCGGGCTTGAACCCATCACCCCTGGCATATGGGGCCAACACCCTACTCCGTGAGCCATAAGCGCCACCCATAAAACAGTCTTTTTTTTTTTTTTTTTGTAGAGACAGTCTAACTTTATCACCCTTGGTAGAGTGCTATGATGTCACACAGCAAATTCTAACTCCTGGGCTTAGGTGATTCTCTTGCCTCAGCCTCCCAAGTAGCTGGGACTACAGACACCCACCACAATGCCTGGCTATTTTTTTATTGCAGTTTGGCTGGGACTGGGTTCAAGTCCGCCACCCTCAGTATATGGGGCTGGCCCCCTACCCACTGAACCACAGGCACCACCCTATAAAAGTTTTTTTAAAAGGATGACTGGCTACCCTGTGAAGAGAGAAAGATGATCAAAACTGGAAGCACTGTGATAAGTAGAAGGTTAAAGTAACTGGTACAGAGCAGATGCTCAAAACATTAGCTAGGCTGGACACACTGTCAAACCCAGTAGTTTAAAACATATGGGTGGGGGCGGCACCTGTGGCTCGGTGAGTAGGGCACCAGCCCCATATACCAAGGGTGGCAGGTTTGAACCCAGCCCGGCCAAACTGCAACAAAAAATAGCCGGGCATTGTGGCGGGCACTTGTAGTCCCAGCTCCTCGGGAGGCTGAGGTAAGAGAATTGCCTAAGCCTAGGAATTGGAGGTTGCTGTGAGCCATAGCACTCTATTGTTGGCTACAAAGTGAGATTCTGTCTCAAAAAACAAAAAAAAGTCCACAAAAAACTTGTGAAGTAATGAGAATGAGAATGTTCACAGCAGCCAATCTGTTGTTGTTGCAGTTGTCATTATTGTTTTAGATGGCGCAGGCTGGGTTTGAACCCTTACCTGTGGGGTATGTGGCCAGCACCCCCTACCCACTAAGCTATGAACACCACCATTTTTTTTTTGAGACAGAGCCTCATGCCATCACCCTGAGTAGAGTGCTGTGGCACCATAGCTCACAGCAAACTCCAACTCCTGGGCTCAAGCGAGTCTCCTGCCTCCACCTCCCAAATAGCTGGGACTATAGGCACCCGCCACAATGCTCAGC